AGAGAAAAGTAGAACATAATCCAATGGCTAGAAGTTGAAGCTAGACAAATACAGACTGTAAATAAGGTTTAATTTTTTTTCACGATAGTCATTAATTCCTGGAACAATTTACCAAGGTCTGTCACTGGCAATTTTTAAATCAAGGTGGGATGTTTTTTCTAAAATATCTGCACTAGAAATTATTTTGGGAAAGTTCTATGCGTTATGCGGAGATTACCCTAGATTACTACAATGGTCTCATCTGGCCCTGGAATCTATGAATTTATGAAAGTACCATGCATACTTGCAACAGTCTATGACTAAATGAGAATAGCAAATTCCTTTGCCTAAAAGCAGTAAATGTCTTTCATATCTGCATATTTTCTTAGAAATATCTTAGAAAAAGGGGGGGACTTAACTTATTATGTTCTGCTAATGTGAGGCAATTCTAAAATAGTGCAACCTATTGGAAACCTATCAGTTGTAATTAGTAATATATTCCTGTCCCACCTGATCAATCACAATTGCTACAGCACTTACTAGACAGGTGAAAATTCTTTACAATCTGAAAATAATCTCTTAGGCAGGATAACCGTGTGTGTGATTTACTGAAATCTATCTAGATGCAATTTGTTCTCCTAGATTCTGATCCTTTATGCAAATGTAAAAACATAGTCTTTTTCTGAAACTCAGCCAGTACTTTTCCCATCTGTCCTCCCGACAGTCTTCTTGAAGCTAGCACCACAGGTAGTAACACACAGAATAGATGGAACTGCCTGCCTGTTAAGAGTTCAGACACTTCAAACACTGTACAGTAGAAGCAACGAGTCAGTTATAAAGTTTGAATATGTTTTACAATGAATCACTTAGCTAGTTATTGGAAGTTCCTTCCTACTAAGACACATCCTAGAAACCTAGAAAAAGTGGACAGGATTGGATGGTAGCCTCAGATGGTCAGTATAAGCTCTCTGAAAAGAAATCTCTATAAAGTTTCTATGTACAACTTTAGACAAATTAAATCCTGCATTAGGAAAGTACAAGTCATGTCCTCAGTTCTGCACTGAGTTCCATTTAAGCATATTTCTGTGATTGTGTGGACCTCACTGCAGGAACTGGGCCAAATAACTTACCTGAGAAAACTAATCTTGTTTAAAAATAGATAATTAGTTACCAAGATGCAAACTACATAGATTTTTAATAATAGGCAATGGACTCAAATAATGATCTGTTTTGTTTTCTCCAAAATGCACTTAACATTGTCTTATTTTAAAATTACTTTGAAACTGATTAATAATACATTTTGCAATGTTCTAATGAATTAGAATGCAACAATTATGACAGCTTTTTACCTGGACTGGAGCAATGCTCATCATTACTGTATATTAAAGGTAATCACAGATATTGAATGATTTTAACTGAATAAATATTGAGGAAAGGAGGTGCTGCTGAAAAACCATCTGAAAGTCATCATATTTCCAACCATAATTAAGACTACAGTATTTGAAAACCTGGCTATTAGGACCCTGGCAGTTCAGAGTGTGATATTTACGTTGTTTCATATATAAATATTTATGTAGCAATAATCTTCTGCAAGTACTACCAAAGCAAGGAGCAAGTAAGACTTAGCTAAAATTATTTAAAAAGTGATCTGTCAATAAAGGGTTAGCAGTAGATAATGCCCTGGAAGTACTGTACAGCTTTTGATGTTGCAAATGAATTGCAGCTATAAATCTAGACCAGCATACCCAATTTGTTGTGGTATATTTACTACACAGTCACTTTGTTGCTTCTATAAACTGAGTCCATTGCACACACCAGAGGCTCTCTCCATATCCCTTCAAGTTCCATGTGTATCAACCTCCCAGCTTTTCTATTTGAGGGATTCCTTCACCTCAATTAAAAGCAGCCTCAAAGCTACTCTAACTTGTACTCTGACTGCCCCAGCTGTCAGCAGCTTAGAAGAACAAGAGAGCAAGGAAGCCCTGGCTGCAACCCTGGCTTCAGATGCTGGTACAGTTTCTGAGTTAGATGTTGCATTAGGGGTAAAGAGGGAAGGAATGTTACAGAACTACTGCTTGTGCAGTATAAAGGGGCCCAAATGTCCAATTATTCCCACTTCAGTATGATCAAAATAAATATTCACGGGTCTTATTTCACAGCCCTTATTCAGGCAAAAGACTCACTAAAACAGTGGCATCTGACATTGATTTTGGAACTGCTAGGCCAATATTGCTTATAGTGTAAAAGGATTTCTGCTTTTTGTTCATGGTTCTGTTATCACTAGATATTTTTTCCTCTTAAGAGTGCTTCTATTATTCAACTAGGTTTAAAGTTCAATTTATTAGGCATAATTCTGATCTCAATTTCTTAAACATAACAGGCATCTACACTGAAGGTAATACTGGGTAGTTGGGAGCAGAATTTGGTCAATTAAACACTAATCAGTAGAGCTGCTCTTTTTCTTTTTTAAAAACAGATATGACGTTTGCCCCACAGAGAACACTGGCGAGGACCAAGAAACAATGCAGAGTGATCTATGTATGCTTATGCATTTAAATTGCACTTTCATTACTTTTTAAAAAATAACTGCCAGTAGTCCAGTAATGTTGTGAGTTACTTCCCTTAAGAACTTTGCAGTGCATAGTAACGGTACTGGCTGATTTCTTTATTTATCCCTTTTTTATTCTTTCTGAATTCTCCAAACCCTCTGTTTTATTTTTCTTGCTAAAGGCTAGGTTTTTATAACAAAGGCAATTCAGTAGCTCAGCCATTTTAGAATCGCCATTAATGTCATTCCCTCCTCATTTATTAATGGGCCTACTACCTCTCCAGTATTTCCTTTTCCCCCATGACATAGTTGTAAAAACCCTTCTTGTTCCCTTTAGCCAGCCTCAACTCATTCTGCTTTATTTTTTGCAGCCCTTATCTATCTTTCTTTTTTACAAAGTTAAGATGAATAGAATTCCACCCAATGCTGCAACACTGAGGATCATTTTAAATAAATCATTTTACATGACCTATTTAATGTAAATCTACCTAAAACCAAAGTTAACAAATGAAGATCACAAATGAATCACAGTAACACTTTCCTCCCAAAATATGCTAGACCTGTGATGACTTTTTTAAAGTCAAAAGATTACTCTGTTAACACCTCCAATGCCTTGTGCTTCTGCATGCCCAAGGCTATTGCTTTGTGAAGCATTCCCATTATTTTTAATGAGCAGTCAGGACTTACACAGTGTACGTCCATAAGACCACAGATATGCCCCTTTTCTGCCTGTGCATCACAGATCCTAAGTGTGTGAGAAACATAAAAGGAATGCTGCTGCTTTTTAAAAGCTTTCCATAAAGGCACCTGATAATTTCATCCTTTTTCATTAGCTAGCATCCACTCCCCACAAATAATTCAAGCTGCAAGCTACTTTAAAAAGCTAAAATTAAGCAGTATTTTATTTCTATTAAATTGCTGGCAAGTACCAGTTTCACTGTTTGTTAGATATCAAGCCAGCCAAATGATGCAATAGCCTGTATCCATTATGCATTCTTGCAGGAGGCAGCCAGTAAATCAGAAAGCTTGCTGTAGAGAAGAGACTGTCTAGTGAACTGTGCAGAGATATGCCCAAGTCCTTCAGGGAGAAGGGACATTTCAGTCTCTCACATGCTATTCCAATAGGCTTTAGAATTTAACTAGTTTTTGTTATGAACTCTCCAGTAAAGGATATCCATATAGGGAAATCTTCACTTGAGAGCCACATTACTCAATGTCAAACAACTGTCTGTCTACAGTTGTCTCTTGCAGTGACCACAAACCTTCCCCATCCATTTCCACACACTTATATTTGATCATTTCATTCCCTATTCCACTTCTGCCTGCATTTTAGCCCATTCCCTCTCATTGCCAGAGGAGAGAAAAGCTGATATTTTCCTGTACTTTCTGATGTGTAATGTCAAGTGCCCTGTTTGTTACAAGCAAATGGCCATTATTAAATGGCCTGTCTGAATAACTGAACCTCCATAGGCCTACCCAGTCATGAGATAAACAATCTGATCAAGTCAGTTCAGAGGAGGGACTAGCCTTTCCTACACTGGAAGTGTTCATCCACAGCATCTTTTTATGCCGATTTTAATGGGTCTCTGTTGTTCTTTCAAACGCCTCACTTCCTGGCCTGTTAATCATATGCACAAAGCACATGCTAGCATATGTATCCCACAGAGCTGGGATACAAATTGTACTTCTCTTAATCCATCTCTGAATTTCATGTGTGTGTGAGTATATGACCAAAACCAGAAGAAACTTCCTTCTTGACAAATAAAATTGCTATGAGTTTGGAAACCTCAATGGTACACATTTTGTTTCCTGTGACAGATTTTTAGCTGAGGTTAATCATTATAGCACAATTGCTATCAGCCAAGGATCCTACCTATAATCTTGAAAGTTTTCTTGAGTCATTCATGGCTCAAACTTCAATCTCAGTAGCACAGGAGTAAATTTAGAGTAACTCCATTGACAGCAAATGAGTTATTTAAGATTTACACTAATATAAAAGAGTTGATTAATTGTTTTTGTAAAAGAAATAAAGCTCTTCTGGCTGATTTTCCATTGCTTAAATCTCATTTGCAAGCACTATGAAGAATTTAGTCCATCACAGGCTGTTGTAAACATGTCTGTCATATTGTGATTGGTGAACCTTAGTGGCCAGAGAACACTTTTGATCAGATGTATAAAAATCATATAGTCCTTAACAGGTTGGTGGACAGTTAACACAGACATGCATGCACATCAGGTTATTTATCACGTAAAACTGAGCGCACACACATACACAGATCTGCACAAAATGATAACATGATGTGCTATATTGTAATCAAATAGGGACATGTTCTTAACATGTCCGGACAAATACGGTGCATCTCTAGGATGGCAGGAGAGGGTAATTCTGCACATTAGTGAGTTATGTGGAGACCAACAAGGTCTGTGGACTGGTAATAACACCAAGATACACAGTAGAATAAAAGACACTCACCTTAAGAAGTTCATAATGCTGAATGCCATTCACACCAATGTCTGGGTCAATGGCAGATGGGACAGAGTAGCGGGAATTAATGGCTGTGTTCTCAGGGATGGAGATGTTAATGACTGTGTCATTGATATCCTCTATCAAGAACCTGATCTTGACCAGTCTGAAGACTTCATCAGGCAAAACTGCAACCTCCACCTCATAAAAGCATCGGTTTTCGCTAAAAATGCCAGAGCACAGCTTCTCCCGGTCTATGCGGTTGGCAGTCGTGAATATTTCACCAGTGTTTTCCTCCACTCGAACTAATGGCACATCCCCAGTCTTATACACAAGCTTGAACTGAAGAGGTGATGAAAGGGGCACATCCGGGTCCAGTGTCAAATTCAGATCCTTTAGCAAATTGCCAATCAGGACATTTTCTGGCAGTTCTTCCCTCACAGTATAATTCTTCTCTTGGGCACCAGACTGAAATACAATGCAGGCTAATAAGACTGCCAAGAGGTAGGTTCCAGACAGCAAGTCCATCTCCAGAATGGCTAATGAGTCCTCCTGAAGAACACCAAGAATAGCTGGGAAAGAGGGAAGAAAGGCAAAGATTATTAAAAAGCACTAAAACAGTATGTCAGCCAAATGGTGGAAATGCAAAAGCTGAGCGATTTGAGAATTGTTGCAAAACTAGGTCAATGAAATGCTATTTGTTACTGTGAACATTGTTACATAAAACAAACAGCAATAAAGCAGATAATCCCTTATATCTGCTTTCTTATGTTTCCACTTTATAAATGTTGATTTCAGAATCTGAAGAATGGACCCTCCAAAAATACAAGGGTCCTCATGAGAGTATATTGTTCCCACTCTCTGCTCCCCAAAACAAATCTTCCCTACCAGCCCTCCCTCAGCCATACTGGCCTTCCCCTTTCTCCCACACCCAGCTCCTTGATCTTGTTCCCTTGTCAGGCAGCCAAGTCAGCCTCAGCCCACCCAAGCAGCTGGTTTGCAAGCAGGCATCAGCAGTCCATCACTTCCTGGGATGGGCTGCCTCACTTCTACATATGGACCCCTACAGACCACAGAGGTGGAATACAAACTCCACTTCTCTTAATCCACCTCTGAGTTTTGCACAAATAAAACTGAATGACAGCTCTAAGCATTAAAATGTTCTGTCGTCTAATATAGCAGTTCACACTGGCAAGGAAAACTTATCAAAATTATGTCTAAAGAACTACTACTACAACACAAAGCAATCAGTCCTCTTCAGAATCAAGAAAGGATTTGATCCACAAACTATTGGAGTCAATGGAATTACTTCTACTCATCTCTGGAGACTTTGTATCAGGCCCCAAAAGCACATTGAAAAAAATTACACAAATGGTCTGTGGTGCTTAGTGCTCCTCTTCCTGCTTCAAATATTTAAAGCTTTTACTGGGGCACAAATCTAGGACCAGTTGTCATGACCTAAGAGCTACTATGTACTGACCCAGAAGATGAGCTCCTAAAGGGTTCAGTCCTATAAATGCTGAGAGCCTTGTCAGATAATGTCCCTACTGGATACTTGCCATTGCCTTCAATGGGAGTTGTGATTTTTTTTTCCTTTGGTAGGTTAAGCAGTGTTTTTAGTGGTTGATCTCACCCCCTGAAGTTCACAAGTGACAACCTTTACTGTGCTGGAAAATCAGCAACAGGGCATTTCTCATTATATTAAAGTAATTCTAAATCAGATCAGAGCTGATTCTACACAAGTTGCCAGTGTTCCTCTCTCAAATACTCTGATATTCAGTGAAACCTAGTACATAGGATTAATACTAGAACAGGGTATGAATGTGTTTCAAGGAGAAGGAGAAGACCAGTCAGTATCACTCCACTGTGTTGTGAGCTACAATACATACAAACCCAGATGCCTGAAAGCCCCAGACTTGTGGGGGAGGGAAAATGACTATCTTTAGTTTCAGTATGGATGAATCACTCAGTAGAGTAACACGGCTACATTTCTATCAGTATAGCAAGGTACAGGAAAATTATAAAATGTAGGCGTCTCCAGTTGTGGAATAAAATGTGACACTACATCAATTTACATAATTTTGCCACTGCTGGGAGAAGAGTCTGCTTCTCTGCAGCTCTTGACCTCTGACATCTGGGACAGCCGTCCAAGGGCCAGACACTCAGCTGGCATCAATTTAAAATTAACTTCAATTTACAACAACTAATGAGCCAATCCACTACACCCACCTTACCAACTCAACTGCATCTCTTCTTAATGTTCAAAAGCATATACACAGAGAGAGAGAGGGGTAGGTGTTTCTTTCCTTTCTTTCCTTCCTCTACTAATTTTATTCTCCTCTGTTATACCTGATGCCATTCTATAAATTTCAGCCCAAAATGCTCTACATGGAAGATGCATCCCTATCAACTGCTTTGGGGTAACTCAATGAGTAAGGATATTAAATTCATGTTGCACGGTACTACATTATCTGCAGCATTTTAAATATCCATTATTAGGAAATATTAACACACTTTAATAATGTAATTAAGAAAAGCTATCAATGATCAATAACAATATTATAGTATGTGCATGTGATGGCAGGATTGTGATGATACCAAATATCAACATCATCATCTCAACAATGTACTATTTGTATACCTGTTATATTCATGACAAACTACCACCAAAATCTTCAAATTCTGTTAAAGGAAACACACACAGAGAAATGCAAAAAAATTGTTTTAAGAAATAGATGAGGGCTTTTTAATTTTATTTTCACGGTTGTTGGAATAACACATTTCCTTCCACAACAGTAAGGGAAAATATATGCTGGCCATAGTGAATAAAAAGTAGCGTTTAAACTACTGTCAAGGCCTCAGAATGGCATTATATTCTTTAAATATTTTGGGTGTACAGGAGAGCACCATAAACACCAAAAACTGCAGTAAACATACACAGAACTGGTATCTGTGGGGCAGTATTTTTAACCTTATTGGTTCATTTGTGAGCAAAGGGATTACAGAACTAACTCAAGGCTTAACCTCCTGTGAATTACATTCCCTGTGGTAAGATTGCTTGTGAAACCAGGAGGCTAAAAAATATGCAGGTAATTATAATAAATATAATAAAATGTATACATACATACACACATACTACAGACCTCTGTATGTATAGATTATACTGAACAACCTTATAATTATTAAGGTAAAACTGTTACTCTGTCCTTAACTCACCTAGCCATACTGCAGTTCTAAACACAAAATAAATTATTATATCTTACACCACAAGCTGAAATGCAGTAATCTAATCCTGGAGTTTTAGCCTAAATTTGGAAACTCTTAGATGCTGTTATTATTTTTCAATTTAAATTACATGTTACATGGTTTTCATTAACAATTTAATATACTTATGGTAACCTCATAAACCATGACATGCATTGATAACTGTTGATGAATAATACTTTGAATGTGAGACATGCACAATTGATGCTTTAGATCTGATTCTCTTCTCCCTTCATTGTAAACTAAGACTAATTCTGCCACAGTCAATAAGTCAGATTCTCTTTGTGCGATCATTTTCACTAGTGCAAGAGGTATAAAAGAACACCATGCTGATTTGGGAGTGATTGATATACCGGGTGTAAATAATGTATAAATAACTAAAGAAGGTACAAGGAAGAGCTGATCAGAAAATGCAATCTCCATCTAGTCAAAGTGGAAAATACTGACATTTCAAAATTGGGATGAAGAGTCAAAACTTTTTTTTAACGTGGGACAAAAAAATCCTTAAAATTTTGATTTGGCAACATCAAAACAACCTTATCCCACATTTTGTTTAAACAATTTCAAAATGTTGTAATATATACACGTACATATTACATTTAATTATACATTTGTCAAAACAAAATGAAGTCAAAACAAAGTAACACATTTTGATTTGGAATAATTTCACATTTATTTGTTAAATTTTGTCAAAAGCACCATCTTCCAGCAAAACATTTTGATTTTGTTGAGCATTTTTCAACAGGTAACTGCCATCACAAAATTTCCAACCAGCTTTCTGCAAGTTAATGAAAAATCAGGCCCAGTAGAGTTATATGAATGTAAAATGGTTGTAAGGTAAATCACAGCGATGCCTATACATACTTTGGTATTTTGCCTTTGGACGTAAATTCCACCTCTTTACAGTCACTTTTAGACCCTCCATCCTATACTCACCTGCTTCTGGTTTTTATTAAAAACTAATCAAGTACACACACGCCTGGGCTTTGAATTTTTCATGGAAAACTGTTATCTTGCAGGATGAAAAAGTGACTGATACTGGTTTACAATTCTTTAGCTGTGAAAACAGGGAGTATTCTGAATGCTATCTTTTTTTTCCCCTTCTGAACCAATCAGTATCAGTGAAGTCATGGTGCTTTGAGGGGTTTAAAAGTTACAAAATTCAAATTCTCTGTTCAGATATATGAAGCAAGCAGCTCAAGCCATGGGCAGGAACTGCACTTAAAAACAACCTATTTATATAGTGATGGCTGTTCTCTGTCTGTCATTTGTGCTTGGACTGATGGGGGTGCTATGGCAACGGCAACAGAAAGAAAAGAGGAGGGGGAGGGGTTGTCTAGCAACAAAACACAACAAAACACTTGCAAGACGTTCAAGAAATCAGAATATCTCTAATAGAATATTATATGTGGAATAGTTCATTGGCTCTTGAGCATATTTTCCCACCATACGTATAAAACTCTAAAAATGGGAAAACCAGAAACTAAGAATAGCAGGACAAAGGAGACCGGAGAAATGGAAAACTGAGTTAAGCAGAAATTATTAAGAGCAATTGCAGAAGTGGAGCAATGACTGATACTAAAATCGTGAAGATAAACTGATAATGTGATAAGATAAAGGGACAGAGAAGAATAAAAAAACAACGCGGGGATGGGGAGACAAAGCACAGTCACTGTGAGGAGAGTTCTAGATGGTTGAGGGCCAATGGCAAAGCACATACCGCTGCTGTTAATACTCTGCTAGTACCATGACTAAACAGGGGACTTCTGGTCAGTGGTTGCTAACACAGCACCCTTCACCAGCCCCATGGGCATTTCAGCAATTAAAAATGAAAAACAGAAGTGTTTCACACAAGGTATCCTTAGCTTCTGAGATGCTGCAAAGATTACTTGCCAGAGTGCTACACTTATGGCAGTGCTCGTCACCTGAGCTGTGATGGCAAATACCCTATATGAGATAGCAGAGGGGAGAAAAAGGAAGTTATGCATTTGCTCACGCACACGCACTCACAGTTATCCAATACATTGAACCCTCATGCTATAGTTTAAACCATATTATAATTGAGCTTCACTTTAATAGCTGTTGTTTTGGCATCTCTAATAGTTATGGATACTGTGTGCTCACTGAGCTGCAATGCAGAATATAAAGATTAGAAAGCATCATTGGAATTTGATTTTAAAGCGGATCCAAATCTGAGCTCCTTTGAAGTTAGGCCTTAACCGGCTCCCCTTTTTTACCCTTTTTGCTCGGTTCAGCTGCTGCCACTGTTGCCTTGTGACTCATTTTTTTGCCAAAGCTCACTCACTAG